CTGTTTCCTATTTTGTGTCAACACGTAATCCGAAGTGTCAACACCACGCGATCAGCATCTAAAATTCAGTTTCCTATTTCTATTCCAAGTCCTACCTCTATTTCAATTAGGGTTTCTAAAATCCTATAAATACCCATATAAATTCAGAATGAGGAGAGTTTTGGAGAGGCTAGTGGCAGTCCTCTTTTGGGCATTATTGGAGATCAAGATTGAGGTTTCATCAACAATAGAAGATCAAGATTGAGGTTCCATCAATGATAGAAGATCAATGAGTTTGATTTCCTCAAATTGGGTTTTTTTTTTTCTTGGATTTTTATCTATTGTTTGATATTTGAATGTTCATAACTTTGATTTCATATTTTATTATTTTTATTATGAACTGATTTATTTTATTAAGGCTATGATGTAACCTAATCAATTCAATATAGATTTTGTGATTTTATACTTTTAATTAAAGTTATTCGCATGAGAAGTTTATATTATTGAACTTAATGCATTGGAAGTCTAATCACCTTTCAATTGATTTAGTGATTTATGCATGAACTTGAGAAAGAATTGCGTAGATTAGACCAATAATAATATAAACCGTGTGCTAGACTATGAGACCGAGAGGTAATTAGCTTACATGTGGTAATGGAGGAAGAGAAGAGAGTTAGGAGCTCCCCCTTCTTAAGCTAGAGGTTTCCATATAATTTAATGCTCATTAGTTGGTTTAAAATTACATAAAGATATGATTAATTTAACAAACTAGTGAAGGATTAACTTGACTTGAGAAAGCTAGTTAATTAATTTAGGAAAATCCACCATCACATGCAATAACACTCAATAAATTGGTTTTGAAAGTATATTAATCCAGAATTTATATTGATTGATTATGGTGAAATCAATGCCTTAGTGCCGCCTATCTTTGTTAGGTTTAATTGTTATTTTTCTTTTATTATTTTTTTAGTTAAACTTTCTTCCCATTTGGTTGTTCAAATAAATTTGGATTAATTATTTTAGTACTTAGTTAGACACAATTCTCGTGGGTTCGACACTCTTCTCATCATTATATTACTTGGAGCGACTAGTACACTTGCTAGGGTGATTTTAGTGCATCAAGTTTTTGGCGCC